CAGCAGGGAAGACAGTAAATTTCTAAAACAAATCAGGAGCAGAAATCCAGCTGGAAATGGTCTTCTTTTGCCCTGATTTGGGAGCAGGCACACCCCAAACTGCTGCATCACCCCATACTATGTTAGGTGCAGGCCATGTGCATTCATTGAGGCCTTTTCTCCTCCAAAATGGTCAAGGCATTTCTATATCCTGCTACAGATATATGAATCATAGGATCATTAAGGTTGGAAAATATCTTTAAGATCATTGAGTCCAACCATTAATCTAGCAGCACTATATTCACCACTAAACCCTATTCCTAAGTGCCACATCCATAGGCCTTTTGAATACTTTCAGGGACGGTGTTTCCCCCAGTTCCCTGGGCAGCCAATTTTAATGTCTGACCACCCTTTCAGTGAAGAAAATTTTCCTAATATCCACTCTAAACTTGATGCAATTTGATGCCATTCCCACCTCACTACAACCTCCTTGAAGCATGTAGGATTGCTGTTGAAGCATCAGTCTGAGCTTCCCTCATTGTTTTCCCAAAACTGGCCACTGCCCACAATGATGGTGATGCCCTACACCAGAAATGTGGTTTTAGGCAGTTTGAACTACGCAGGAGTTGAATCTGGGAGCATTTCTGAAGCACGGTCTCTGGGCTAAGAATGAGTGGGACACTTTTGAAGACTAAGGATTACTCTCCTTCTCTCTTACCAGTCAAGAGGAGCTCTGAGGGACAACATGCCAAAACCACAAGCCTGGACTGGGCATCATCTCCCATCAGAGGCTCTCCACTGAGCATTAGGGGAGGAAAGTGTTTTCTCTGCTGTTAGCCCAAAGGGGAAACATGGGCCACAACTCAACAGACTGGTGAACAGAGGGGCTGAAAGGACACTGACCTGTGCACATTTCAGGGACATCAAGTCAAACAAATGTATTGAAGCATTAAGTGGTCATGTCAGGGCATGTCCTCATGCTATGGAGCAGCTAAGAGGGTAGAGAGCAAGATTCTTTGGCTACTCTACATCCCCCTGCACATTCCCATTCCTTGTTGCTGGGATAATTTGTGCAGTCTTCCTTCAGTACAGGAAGCTTTCCACCCAGAGTTAAACAGAAACATAAGGGAATACAGTTTTAGAAGGAAATAACTGACTTCTTGGGCAGCACAAAGGGCAAAACAATAGCAAATGGCATCTGGTTTCTGTCAGGATGTACAGCCTCTGCAAATTACAGCCCAAATGAATAAGAGCCATCCAAAAGGCTGATCAGTGTCATCTAACAGAGTCAGCTTAATTCAGGATATGCCTCTTTGGTTTCTCAGTGCAATACAAATTAGGAAGAAAGAGTGGCAAATTAAATATGTATGGGGCCTAGGCAGAACTTTCCATCAGCTATAGAATATAAAAAAGGAGGAGAAAGCAATATACAATTAACAAGGTGAGTATGCAGTAGGTAAAGGAAAAATGCAACAAACAGTCCCTAGCACTACAACAGGGCTGCTACAGAGCAACTGCCTGAATCTGCCAAATTCCAAGGGAAGACTGAAAAAAACCAAGCCCACAGAGACAGAGCATCCCCACAGGAGAGGCACATGTCCTGTAAACAATTTTACTGCTGTAAGCTGGACTCTGAACTCATGGTGATCAGTTCCTGAGTTGCTAAATCTGGCCATGTGATTCCAACCACACTCCTATTACAGAGATTACCTAGAAATATTTCAAAGGACCAAGGTGAAAGCACTGAGCTCCACCTATGCATTTTTGTTATATTTATTTACATCACTTATTTTTTCCTCCTCATTCCCTCTCCTTCTGATAATGCTGAAACATCTATTTTTTAATAGCAGAAAGGTGCTAAGCAATACAGCTCAGAATATTCTTGCTAATAAACAAAAAATAGGATAAAGACTTTAAAATATAGTATGATTAAAAATCAAACTTAAGAGAATTTTTTTTGCTTCAATTGATACAGAAAAATTACTTGTCTTCAAATACAAATTCTTTCAGCATAAAGCAAATACAATGCACCAATAATTGAGATGGCTCCCCCATGTACATAATACTGTAATAATTGGGGCATTCTCCATAGCTGAGGGAGAACAGATTCAGTTTCCTCATATGCCTAAGGAGATTCAAACTCTTTGGAGAGCAAGGCAATCAGAGGATGTAGGCTATTTTGGGGTGGGTGGCTGTGGCCATCTACCAAAACTGCTAAATTTCATAAAAAAAGTTCAAGTCTCATATCAGCAGGAAGGCACTAGCACTACAACATGCAGGGAGCTTCTGTTGCCACAAGGCTGAGAGAAGTCAGTCAGTGGGATCCCTGCTCCCACAGTTAAGTAGGTGTTTTCTACCAGGTGGTCATTGTGCTAGCAGACAGGTAATGTGGCAAAGCACAGCCATGGTCAGGCATGGGATATGCTGTTTGCCAAGAGGACATGACCTAGAGCAGCCTAAGGACATGAGGAAATCTTGTCTACAGAAGCAAGATTCCTAGGCTTTCCTTTTTGAGTCCCTTCCCATCTCTACTGAGATCACTTACAGCCCAGCTTGCCATCAATCTATGACACGGAGGACAGATTTTTTTTTTATCAGGCAATTCATTCGTTGTTCCCTGACAAGAGGGAAGATTTATAAGGTAACTGTAGTGCTTCAGAGAAGAAATAGGACGTAAATATTGTGATGACCAAAGGGTCTCTTCATTCCAGACATTGGGTGCATAGAGATTGCCCCTCCCTCCCCTCTCCTTCAGCCTGGGCACACATAACCTGTCCTGCACAAGGTCACCTGCAGGACAAGGTCCTTCCTGCTGGACTGTGGAGCCTTTACGGAGAAGGACACCCATTTGTTCAGCTGTCAGTGATGCCACAGCAGCAAACACAGCATCAATTATGTAATTAGATCCATGCTAGGACAGAAACCTCTGTTGTATATGAAACTCTTAAAGGAAATAAAGCATACAATGCAGGGAATCTGAAATGAGAGCTCAGGGTTACAGGCAAAATTCAAATGAAGTATCTTGATTTAAAAAAAAAGAAAGAAAAAAAATCAATCAGCAGTCTCTCCCAAGGCATTTCACCTCTAATTGAAGAGTGAATTGTGTTTACTTAACTGCTCATGCTCTTGACTGTCTCTCAGCAAATGAATCATGATTACACTACATAAAATTCAGTGTTTGGCTTTCTTATGATCCCACAGGACTGGATTCCTTACTTTAAGACACATGTGTAAAAAAAAAGAACTGAACTATGAAAGATATCTTTTTATTGTATAGAAAAGAAAAATGTTTCCTTCAAATACAGATTTGAAGCCCCTCCAGCTCCTGTCTCCACAGCTGAAGTGGAAACCAAAGGAAAGGCCACATATGCTAAAAGTAAAATGAAAACTGTTTCACATTCAGATTAACTTTGTCAAGGGCTATGTAGGTTGCTGTAGTCTTGAATCCCTAAATCATATTATGTCATACACAGATTTTACCACAGAAGGATCTTTGTTTTTTTCATTATGTGTATACATAATTCTGGAGTGCACAACATTAGCTATTGTAAAGGTGATCAAAATTGATCAAAAATGAAGTTTAAGTGAAAAATTACTCAAGTTTTGTCTCAAATGTTGTTAACACTGAAGCAAAATGAGGAACTATGTGCAGCATTTATGAATCAAGAACAATTTATCAGAACGAGCTGGGAATTTGAGTGAAGATGGACATAATAATAAAAAAAGCCACCACAGGAACAGAAAATAGCTCTAAAACTTTCTGGCAAACCACTCTGTTTCAAAAGCCAAACTGCCATATATATTGTTCATCCCCACTTACTTGAAAATGACAGATCTGATACTTGGGTCATCTTCCTTTGTCAAAATGGTTTTACAGTGGGAGCACCAATAATTGGGTAGAGCATCCCTATGTAGCAGGATTGCTGGGTACTGTGGCTGCTACATCAGTATTAACTGACCTTCCATCCATGGAATATCATGGGACAACTATGTCTTCTCATGTATGACTGTTGTATGGTCTCCTGAAGAGGTGTGACTTAGTAGAGGCTTGCAGCAATGATGAATTGTGTTTATGACATTCCTGCCCTAGGGACTGGCAAAGTGCAAACTCAGTTAAAGGTGAACTGGTACAACATTCACTGAATACTTCCTGAGTCTCTATGCTACAATTCCAAAGTTGTCTTAGCTGTTATGGTACTACTACTACTACTCCCCTAGTGTTGCCTTCTCATCAAACTCCTCTAAGACCATTAAGCACCATTCCCCCATTAGCTTCACCTGAAAAAAAGACAATGCAGAAACTAAAGGAAATTCACTCAGAAACAGAGGAGACCAAGCAGGTGGTAGAAACATGACCTTCCTTCATGAGGTCAAATAGCTTTATTGTGATTAAGCACTACAATACAGTATATATCCATAAAAAAACTCTATAGTGTATATAAATTATTCCTTCCATTCAGTAATTCTCTTTTTGTTTTCCTTTTTTTTTTTTTCCATTTCCATTACAGCTTTGGTACAATGTGATTTTATTATATTTTTAAATACTTTTAGCTTCACAAACTCAACACAAAGTACAAAACTAATCCGAATCGGGGATATTACAATCTACACAGTGGTGTTCAGTGGTAGGAAAAAATCTTACCTCAATGAATTCATGTCACTAGCTAAGCTATAAAGGCATACCTAGCAGACATGACAAAAATATGCACCATTAACCAGCAAACATTTTTTTTTTCAAAATTTATTTTACTTTTTTTTTACAGGTTTTTCCAGCAGCAAATCACTTGAGCATTGTCAGTACTCGTGTCCTCAACTGATTATTCTGTTGTGTTCCTCTTCATTTGAAGGCCATGATTTATTTGTCAAATAATGCACCTCTATCCTCATAAATCTAAGCCACAGTGTCAGTACTTGACCTGCCACCCTGCATTGTTGATGCTTGCACAGTTTGTCCTGCAGCTGGCAGAAATAACTGGAACGTTATTGGAGGGGCAGTGTGGGGCAATCAACCGGAGGTTGTTCTGTGGGGCAGGAGGTATGACATTACAGTAGACAGGCATTCCAGTGGCTGTAAGTGTTCCTTGACCTGATTGATTAGGTAGCATGATTGGTTGTTGATATGATTGTTGTGGCAATCCTTGAGAACCCTGGGTCATTGGCACCTAGGTAGGAAGATGGAAAGACGTAGGGAAAAAAAGATAGCAATTACTAAGCAAGTTAAAGTAGGCTCCCAGTATCCCTATATTCCTTCTAGCTGAATTTGAGTATACTGTATGTTCTGCCAAAATGTGCTATTTTCTGCTGCTTGGAATTGTTCTCATCTCTGAGGTTTTTTTTGTTACAGAAGGTCTTAGAGAATTGCCTCTGCTTTTAGGCCTAGAAATTGTCTCTGTCATGATCTAGTAGAATATGCATTACTGGGATCAGTGCCTGGTATATCTAGGCCATCTAAAAGGTCTAAACCTTTAACTTGATCATTAACCTTTTAAACATGTTTTCGATACAGTAATTCTGAGGATGTAAAGGGAAAATTTTACCCATAAGCAATTTCCCCATTTCCATCTGCGTCGCTGAAGTGTTTTCAAAGAAGCTGAGAGAAAAGGGGAATGGCTGCTCATTCAGTGCAATCTATTAAAACGAATTAGATATCATTTAGTTTCTTAACTTTCCAGAGGGACCAGCAGGAAGTGTAAGCACAGGCCACCTCTCACATGCGCTTGGCATAACTCACGGAAACTGGGTATAAAAGTTGGGAAATAAGTCTGGGTAACTTACGGACTTGGTAAAAATCAAGCCACTGCCTTCCCTCTCCCCAGAACCCAATAAACAATAATCCATCTGGCTACAGCTTGTTATAGAAGACATGGTGAGATCCTTGGCAGGAGTCTCCACAGATGAGTAATTTTTAACTGGATCAGGCAAAGCCCTCAACTTCATTACAGGAAACAGTACTGCACTGGCAAAAAAGAGAAGAAATGAACAATGTTCTTATATTTTTTTTAATTAATTTTCTTCACAGGAAGAAGTCTAATCCCTTCGTTCTTTGTGACATTACCCTCACTGCAGGCTGTAATAAATAGTTCATTTGAAGCATTCCGAAATCAGAACGAATATCAGGAGTACTAAAACCATGTAAATAGGAAGCAAAGAAACTGACTTAGAAGCATATTCATCAGAAGGCTTCCTGCCACACACTACCCAAATGAAGTTATAAGGCCAATGTGTGATGCAAAAACTTAATTCAATTAAGCATTCTCCAAGAAAAAAGTCTTTCCTTACAGCTCCTAAATACCTGATAAGACGACATGGCTGGATACTGCACCATCATGCCTTGCACCTGATTCCCCTGTTGATTATTCATCAGGTTCTGGCTTTGGGGCGGCTGCTGCATTCCCATGAGACCCTGGAACCCTTGCTGCTGGTTCGGCAGGACAGGCTGGTAACCTGGAAGAGGAAAGACATCTTCAAATACCCTGCTGCTTGTAGGGGCAAAATTACAACAGTTCCAAGGTCCAGCAAATGATCCCATCATTTATATCTGTGTTAGTTAAAAAGTTACTCATTCCTGCAGAAATTTACTGGAAATGAAAACTGAAGTGCAATAAACAAGTGCCATGAGCTGGCACCCCTAGCAGGCTGACTTGAGTGTGCAGCACACTTTCACTATGCTTTTTGACACTGTGGCAGAGACCACCTGGAGGACTGTCTGACTGCAGCACAGGGATGTAAAGCCCTGAAGAGACACAGGGTGCTACTGTCTTTTGGCTACTTCCTCAGAGACAAAACTACCAACAACTTCAAGGACATCAGCATTTGGCCTTTATGGCCTAACCTGACAATTTCTTTCAGGTTGCAATTCTTACCTTACCCTCTTACCTTCCTTGTAATGAAGCTCCCTAGCTCAATATAAACAGAGAAGCCTTTATTTAGTCAAGAAGAACACCTCTATACACACTGGCTCTCACTTGCAAGGTTTTTTATGCAATTAGAGCATATTAAGGGTAATAATCCACTGTACTATTTTCATGTGTGTCAAAGCAGGAAAATAATAAATTAGGGACTATTCTCCCCATTGCTCGATAGGAACACTAAACAAGGATGAGAAGCTGATGCTTCTGTTTTAACATGTGACTAACTCTGTGTTCAAAGTCATCACATTACTGCAGATTTTCTGCTGGGATGGCTGCTCTAGGACTAATGGAGAAATAGGCAAAGACTGTATGATCTAGAGAGCCAAGCCGCTAATGAGGCAGCAGTGTGGATGGAAGGCAAGCACAAATAAAAAATTTGTGCAGCAGCAATGGGATTTTGCCTGGGAATGAGCCTAGACAGATGGAAATGGGCTGGTTGGGTGATGGTGATATTTAGCAATTAAGAACTTCACAGAAAAAGCAGGAAAGGAAAGGAATATGCAGGAAGATGCTGCCCTTGAAAAATGTGGCCAGATATCGGTATTATAAATCTATGAATAATTTCTCCTTAACACATTCTGTGTTCTTTAGCACTCATATTTTAAACATGCAGATATGCAGTGCACTATTAACTCTGTAGTGATGTTTTTACAATAAGCATATTTCAGACAAAGAACTACCAGAAGGAGCAACTCTGTGTCATCTTTTTATGAAAAAATTGTGTCACGTCTACTCAATTTATATTAATGAGTACCTTGTTCAATATAGTACACAAAATGAAAACCATCATCTGGATATTTCTTCACTGTGTGAGAGAAATTAAGTAACAAATGTCTGTTTCTCCTGGTCTATTGTCAGTTGATAGCTTTCCTTCTAAATCTGTTCTTCAGGGAAATGTTAAGATTTCTGGTCAAGTATTTTCCATTAAAGATGCTATTCCAGAGATTAATGTCTCCAGTCAACTGACCAAAATTAAAAAAAAAAAATTCCATGAGTGATTAACTTGGCTGGGATATAGCATTAAACATCGCCCAAACTCACCAGATTATTATACATTCAGATTTGCTCTTTTCCTATGCCAAAACACTGTGTCAGCATATTTTTTAGTCATAAAAATTACCAACATCAGAACTGCTGTAACTGAGTTTACAGAAGACTTATACAGCAATAATAAAATTCCAAGTTCTCTTCTGCTCCAGTACACCAATTATGGGGGGGAGGGGATAAAGGACAGAAATAAAAAATTTAGTATTACTCTTCTGGTATTTGCAGGACTAGAAGTTTAAGTAGAGGGGTGTCAACTGACAGCAGAAACAGCAACACGAAATTCATCTCCTCTCACCTCCAGTTGTTAAAGTTAAATCCCAGAAGTGTAAAGAACCATAGATGGATAGTGAGCCAAGGATCAAGTGACACTTTTATGGAATGTAATCCAACACTGGATTTGGGCTCAGAGAACTGGATTGTAATGCACCAGCACAGGGTGGCAGACTGGTGCTCTGCAGAGACAGACAGACACCACTGGGGTCAAGTAGAAAGCAGCCCTTCTGTTATCTCTAGTAGATATGATGGCATTAACATTACTTTTCTGAGACTACTGCAAATGCCCTACTGGGTGTTTAAATACACAGCTCTATCTTCACCTCAGCTTTGTGTTCCATATTCTCCAAATGTGACAGATATGACTATCAAACTGAAACAAAAAGTCATGGAAAAGTTGAAGTAGCTACCTGTATGATGGATGTATAGGCTTGATCTCCTGGGGATATTACAAAAACATAGAGTCATAGAATGGGTTTTGTTGGAAGGGACCTTAAAGACCATCTAGTTCAAATGACACACATGCATACATAAACATCCAGACCTGAAAATCTCCTCTGTACTGGGAAGCACTGCTTAGTACATGACATAACCACTCCAGCTTTTAAGTGCAGAAATATGAAAAAGAGATAGGCTGAAGAGCTGAGGTTCACTGGACTGTGCATTATTATTTTAACAATCTTATGCCAACACTCTTCAAGGCCTTTAGCAATTTCTCCTGACCACAGGACATGTGCACTCCTCATCCCTGCCCCAACCTGCTGAGTACATCAGTTACATCCCTGAAAGTGAGAATAAGACCTTTTTCCCACTCCTTGTGTAAGCCTTCTGCAATGCTCTGACCACACAGAAAAGCCTCAATACAAATACTTCACATGCACTCTAACATGCTTCCAATTTGATTAGATGGGAACAAATAGGCTGTGTCCTGAATCCTCTTAAGAATTTACGAGAAAATAAGTCCCTTCTTTGTCCAGAAGGAGGCATTCTTGAATATTTAATGCCCTGACTTGTGAGTAGAAATGGGGATGTTTAAGAAGTTTACTGGCCTGTATGTATGTTTGCAAAGACGCTGGCTGTTATCTTTCCTTACTTAATATTCATGGACTTTGTTTTTTTAATCATCAGTACTGTTTGGAATTAAATGAAGCTATGGATGCCAGACCATGCTGTAGAACCCAGTATGGCATTTAGTCAAAACCCAGCATCTTCTTCAAGATCGTCCTCAATAAATCCACTTAATTTTACCTGATAGCAAAGCCCGACCCTTTATTATGTTAATTACATGAAGAAAGATGTAGGTTTGTCCATTCTATTGAACCTAAAAACATGACAAGGTACAAAAGTACAAAAGTATATTCCAACATTACAGAGGAGGCAGAGAATATTAAAAAGTGAATACTTTTTTTTATCTACAAGCTTTATAACCAAGAAAAAAAATGCTGTGACAAAACAAAAAAGCCAATATCTGTTCTGCTATATGGCTTCTGTTTCAGCACAAATGAAAGTAGAACAATTGGCAGTATAAGTGGCAATCCATTTGAACAAGAAGTTGTTAATACCAGAAACCAGCTGTTCTGAATTTCTTATCACTGCAGCCCAAATTCTCCATGTAATATTTGAAACAGGTCCTCCAGTGTTTACTGGATGTGGATATCTTTGTATGTTTCTGCAATCTGAGCAGGAAAAAGAATGGAGGTGGGAGAATTGAGACTAATATCAACCTTTTAGCACTGTTTGTGAAACTATATCCTTTTTTTTTTTTTTTTTTTCCTCAGGCACAGACTATGAGAGTGCCATTTGCACCAAAATTACTTAATTTGTACACACACAGCACAGTCTTAAACTACACCATGCTTTTCATGTGCTATTTACTTTTCAGCTACATGGAAATAATACTGTAGTCTCAAAAGTCTTGGAAACTGACTGCAGTGCATGAGAAACCATTACTGGGCAGAGGTGGATATTTTGGAGCTACACAAGTGTAAGAAAAGTGAGAACAGGAAGTGGCAACATGCTTATGCAGCAATAGTTTTCTTTTCACTTGCTCTTTTGCTCATTAGCTTTCATACTACATGAAGAGTAATCCTTAAAAGCCTCTTTACAGTCCCCTGAGAACATACATACGTGGGTTATTTTCTAATGGCAGTACACATCAGATGAACCATCCTATTACTGCAAGCTCCAGGGCCTCTTTACTGCAATTATATCATCCTGCTCTATGTTATCTCTGCTACAAAGGAGGATTTTTTAAATCAGGGCAAACATGAGAGACATTGTTAAACAACCAGAGGAACAAATCGTGCACAGAATTTCAACAAATGCCTCAGAGGAAAGATGAGCCTTGGATTCCAGCTGAAATGGAAGAGGTCGTCATATCATCAAGGTAATTGTCTGAACCTTTACAGCCTGCCTCACCATGCTGAAAGTCATCTAACTTAAACATTGCAGGGGAGAAAGACTGCATGAAAGACTCACAAATGTTTCACTTTCTTAATGAGGCTATGCAGCTCAAAAGACAAAATGCAGCAGTTTTACACCTTTGCCAGTAGTTTTACACTCAGAGCTGCAATTAAAACGTGTCTGGTGCTCTCCTGGCCTCAGCATACATCCTTCATGAATGGCACATTCATGTTGGGAGGGACTGTTTCATTGCTCATTTCAGATTTGAAGCATGCGTTATCAATGTTGGGAACATGTGTATCAGCACTGTGGGTAAAGAGTGTCTGACGAGTGCAGGGGAGAGTCCCTGAACTGCAAATCCTATTGTACTCTTTCCATTTGAACAGACTCCTTGCACCCACGCCCAGCCAATGCAAACACATCCACTCATAGTGCTTTTGATGCAACATGATTTGAGAGCTCACCTGCTCCCTTTCTGCATTACTCAGTGTAGTGCCACCTAAAATTCAGGTACCTCAGAAACACACTGCAATGGCTTAGGCAAGAAAAGTCCAAAAGAAACTTAAAAGAGAAACCTCAAGCAGAGGCGACTGGGCCGGGTGGAGTGCTGTACAGAATCTGGGTGTGCTCCTGCCTGCTCAGCAATTAGTGCAGTGCCCTTCTGATGCCCTATGCCATCCTCCCTTTCCTTTCCCCTCCCTCTCCCAGTGTAGACCAGTTCAGCCCCTGCAGCAACTGCCAGGAGCACTGGGAAGAGACTGAATTTGAGCTCACATGAAAAAGCCAAGGAGAATAAGCACCAACTCTTGG